CTAAGTCTGGACAAAAGATCCCTTTCTATGAGTTTGGCTGGTATATCCCAAAGGCGTCCCCTGTCTTGTCAGTGGCACGCCTACTCACCAACAACCCTACCCCCATTCGAAAAACAAATTCAGTTGGCCAAATAAAAATTAAAGAGAAGCAGAGAATTTGGGAAAATGATTAATTTATAACAAAACATACCAAACAAAATCCGAACCATTTTATGGCTTTTTTCTTGTCGGCCATATTGCTGACAAGGATGTATATAATCATGTGATAATTTTAACCTACAGGACGGGGAACTGATTGGGCAAAAACCCATTTCAATCCCCTATCCAAAATCATAAATCGGTTAGCAAGTATCAGAGAAACAGAGCATTTATGAAAGTGATTATACAAAACAAACACTATTTTACAACTTCCCTCTTAGCATCAGAGTCCAAATGCAATTTCAGGGCCATCAACCCTGCTCTGAATTGTGACCTCCTGTGCTTGAAACGAATTGCAGATTCTCATTGCTTCGATGGATCCGGATATTTACATGGCACTACAATTCATCTGCAGAGTTGCGACTTGGTCACAGTGCCATCCTTGCCCTAGAGGCAGGATCGTTGCAGTCGACTTTTCATCCAACATGGCAGCAGCCATCTCTGGTGAGGGAAGATTAGTGAAAGTGTCATTGACGATTGATGCAGTCTTGGTAAACTCCAGGACATGTCCACCCCCCCCCTGGAATTCTGTAGCATCGTTGTATCATCGGGAGACACTAGTCAGATTAGCCTTATGTACACGAGGAAGATGTGAGAATGACTGTAAAGTGTTTAAGGTAGCGTGTGTGCTTCAACACTTGCCAATTTCCGATAATCAAACGTCGCATACTCAAAATGTCTCTTTTTCAACAGTATGCTGCCTTGACATCTTGTGATTATAATATTTATAATATTATTAATATTATGGATTATGAAAAGAAGAATATTATCAATGAAAATCTTGTAATTACCCCAGCAATGATCTGCTCCGCATTTTGATTCCAATTAAAAATAAAAATACCAATCAATACAAGTAAAAAATAGTACCTCTATTATTAACACGTTTTCTTTAGGAGACCCAAACCAAACCAAACAACAACACTCACGTTTTGTCACCTTGGACTCTGTCAAAAAATAAATTGTTTTTCCAAGAAAAAGAAAAAAAAATCAATTCGCGTCTGTCCTACCAAAAAAAAACCAATTGGGATTAATTGTGCTACGCGTCGATTAATTCATAAACTTTTTTTCTTTTCTTTGTTACAAAATGCCACAAAAGAAATACACCAACAAAAGAACCAGACAAGGCAGAGAAAAAGACATCACTGGGTAAGTGTTTTAAGGATAGTGGTGGTGATTATCGCCCGCCACCACTTGTTATCATTCTAGTTCTAATTTATAATAATGGAAAAAATTTTTGTTTCAAACATTCTAGCTCGTCTTCGTTCCAGGTTTGTTATCAAATAGATTATTTTGTTTTTAGTGAAGTTAGTCTTTCAATTATAGAATTTAAAACTAACATTAATTTCTGTAATAAAATAAAGAATCTGAAAAAGTGCATTATGTTGAAGCTTTGCGAAGAATACGAAGCTGAGGAATCGTTAATAAACGAGCTTCTAGAACAAAATGACATTTTAAATCATTTGGACAATTTGCTCTCGAGAACCACGGAAGCTTTGGATAATCATTTTAATTTCGATAGAGATATAGAAGCTTTGGATACCAGCTTCAACAATGACAGTATCAGAGACGATGAATCTTTAATATCGTATGGTAGAAACGACAATATTTTAATCAATATTAGTGATAGCAATAGTAATACGGGTATTGATAGAAATAACAACTCAAGTAATGACAATAATAACAATAATGATGCTGCTAATAATAACAATTATCAATACAATAATGCCACTCCTTCATCATCATCATCATCAATAACTAACACTACTCCAACAAATAGAATAAAATATCCTCTGATTAATTCATCTGTCTCTTTTAATTTCATGATGACTACAGTTTGTTCAATGTTAAACCAAAAACCGATCTTGAAGACCCACATAAGATTAATTCATAATTAATTGTGACGGATTTGAAATATTGGTTGAAGTATGTCCTTGGAGAACGTGGTGAAAATGTAAAAAATAAATTAGTTTGTGTGATAAACATTTTATTAATGTAATTAATAAAAACAAGTGATTGTTATATATATGTGTATAATTTGAAGTGTATAATAATGCACAATGCTTTTTAGGTATAAATAATAATTACAATTATGTATAAATGCTATTATAAATAAACAAAAGGAAGGGAAAAGTAGGAAAACTACCGGGCTTATGTGCAATGATTGTAGAAAATAATTTCCCAAGCCAATTATAATCAAGAATTTAAAGTTGGTAGTTCACTCAGATATTTGTACTGTGACAAACGCGTCTAATATTCACTGGTCAGAATTTTTAATTTTGACAAATAAATGAAGGAAATTGGTTCATTTTACAAATTTAGAAAACATTCGTTAAAGGGAATTAATTGATATTTAATATCCAATTGATAGTTCATCGTTTATTGAACAAATTCTTTTGTATAACAGTATGAAATTTATTTAAACATGTAAAGATATGTATAATATCTTGTAGAATTTTATTACTTTTATTACTTGGATTGACGAAAATGATACTGTTGTTTCTTATGTTTGACGTGATCTACATTTTATTGTTGCGAGTGACAGAGCAAGGGAGAAAAGAGATTCTAATGATGCACATTTGGGGCATACTGCAATAAAATGAACATTTTAATTTGTATGGTGCGGGTCACCCTAACACATCAAATAACTTTAAATCTAAATAGGGAATATTAAATGCTTGTCTGAAAAAAAAATAGAGATGATATTTGATAGCTATTGACTAGTTCTAGAACCTATTGTCGAGAAAATTTTATATGTGATATATAAAAACACTTATCTAGCTTTAAAGTTGATCAATTTTTATTTAAAGTGTTAGTGTGACTCACATACTACCAAGAATTTCAGGGTTCAAATGAATTTCATTCTAATATAAATTTCTCATTATTATGTGCAATGTTGTAGTTTCAAATTATTTACATGTTTATATGTCATTAAACAATACAATTGTATCAACCAATAAACCTATCAATTTATATCCAACATTCTGTCATAATTATGAATTTTCTTTATGAAATAGTTATGTTTCTGGATCCTAAATCAAGACTAATCTGATTTGTTCAAAGAAATGTTTTCCTTTTTGCATGTGAGTCTGTATATATAAAATTATTTAAAGCAAAATCTATATATTCTAATGTTACTCTAAAAGATGACTATTCTAATATAAATTTCATTGTTATGTAATATCTTATATACTAAAGTTTATTTAAGTTCATTTACATATTTATATAATTTTTAATTTTTAAATTTAAATCAGAATTTTCCATTAAACTGGAATCAGGATGATGCAAATGACTGCATTTTCTACCAAAATCATTGAGTATCATTTTCAATAACTTTCCATGCCTTCAAATGTCAATTGGTAGTTACTCATGCTATTAAATATTCCATATAGGACCTTTTTTGCTCTATTTCTCTTCTACAACTTTTTACATGTGAGCAATCTAATGGTTTCCAGCACAGAGGTAGATAGGTAGATTGGTTGAAATGTACCAAGCCTTTAATTTTATAATTTTCATATGCCTCGTCATCAACATACTCTCCATACTCTCATTGTCGTCTACGATCTAAGTTGATAAATTTTCCCGTTTGTTTCACAGAAGTTTGATTATAATTGGATATGTGATAAATACTTGATAAAAGATGTGACATTTATAAAAAAACTTTTTTTCATCATTTTAAATGAAAAAGAGGTATGTATTATTGAACTTTATTTATTCATTGTTCTCAGTTAGTTTGTTCTATTAATTATTTAATCCTTTACTGTTCTAAATATTCATTCGTTATTAATTCTAGATCTCTCTGATTTAGTTTTTTTTTTGAAATGGCACAAGTACAAGCTGTTCAAACTTATGGTCGTAAGGTTTGTAGTAATAATTGATACAGTAACATCAAATAATTTAATTAAAATTTATTAAATTATAAAATTTCTAATTCATCCTTCATAACCTTCATCATCATCATCATTATTTCATTTGTTTTTAGAGAACTGCAACTGCAGTGGCACATTGTAAAGCCGGCAAAGGTTTAATCAAGATCAATGGATCACCATTACATTTAGTTGAACCAGAAATTTTGAGATTCAAAGTCTATGAACCAATTCTAATCCTAGGTCAAGATAAATTTGCTAAAGTTGATATTAGAGTACGTGTAAAAGGTGGTGGTCATACCTCGCAAATCTATGCAATTCGTCAAGCTATTGCAAAGTCTATTGTAGCCTATTATCAAAAGTATGTTGACGAGGCTCAAAAAAAAGAGATTAAAAATACTTTGATTCAGTATGACAGAAGCTTGTTGGTATCTGATCCTCGTCGTTGTGAACCTAAAAAGTTTGGTGGTGTTGGTGCTCGTGCAAGGTTTGTATTATGTTTTTATGATGACTTTTAAAATTATTACATATATATCTATATTATTTTTATATTAATTTATGATATCTTTCATTTTTTTTTTTTAGATACCAAAAATCTTACCGTAAATATATTATAATTGTTATTGTTATTATTTTCTAAATATTAACTAACATTTTTTTCTTTCCCTTCTCATATAAATAGGTTAATCTTTATATATTATGAGAAGGAATTAATCATAGAATTAAAAATCAAGAATAATAACAATAATAATATTTATGAATTAATATCTACATATATATATAAATTATTTTTTATTAATTCAAGTGAATTTCATTATACCAACCAAAAAAATATGTATGTTGCCACGTGAAGTCTATTGATAACTGGATAATTCGTTATTGCATCTTTTGATCAATTATTGCAGTTATCCTCAAACCAACAATATCATTCTTTTATTTGCACTTCATGTGATGTTTAGAAAGCCTATTGCCTAACTTTCAATTTTCATCAATACAATAATATTAAGATATCCTTGAAAAATTTTTTAATGGAAAATTTAGTGTAAAAGAATATAAACATCGAATTGGAGTCCAAAGGTTTTTTCTCGCCTCAAATGTTTAATTGTTGTAAGAACAAGGGGCAAATTTGAAACATAAATTCTTTCCTAGCCATCGCATACATATTCTTTTTAAGGACACATAATACAAGACAAATGGGAGTAAACAAGTGTACTTGAGCATTTGATAGTGTATGCATTACAGCTGATTAAATAATGAAAGATGTATTTGCAAATGTAATTTTTGCCATAAACTCCAGATTCCCATTAATAAAAACAAAAAAATAGTGCTGTTATGGTTCTTAGGAATTAAAATTTTTAATTTTTTTTGTAGCTATATATTTGTTTCCAAAGTTATAAATGGTTTAAATCTTCGATTGTTAAATCGATTTACCTAATTAATTAAAGAGAATTAATTGCCTTTGCATAAACTGTTATAACTCATCATACAGACAAGAATTTTTTTGTTTTGGGCTTGCAGAGCATGCCTCCTATAGTCTCTATAACATAACTGAGCTATATTTTCAAAATTTATCAATTGAAATAATGGAGAGAGAATCTAAACATATATCACTAACAAGTGATTTTTGGACTTCTCATGGCAAATATGGATATTTGGGAATAACTTGTCATATAAATATCAACCACAGGAAGCTTTATCATCATTGGCTCACATCCCATATTCACATACGTCTGAAGTTATTTGTCAGAAATTACAAGAGATAATTACATCTATAAACCAGGAAACCTCATACTTCCATGCATTGCTATCTCAAGATAATAATAAAAGACTTAACTCTAGATTAGCAAAAAAAATTTCTAAAAGACTAAAAAACAATGACAATCTTGATAGTGATGTCAGTGATAACATAATGATTATGATAGATAGTGCTGTCTCACTCTGTGAACCTACCATGGTTAGAAAGTATAAAACATCAAGTCCAATGTTAAATACTTTTATAAACGCTTTTAGGAAAGTTTGTAGTTATAAATACATGCATCATAATTTTATTCTATCAAGATTCAGATGATTATTTCTATGCAACTCAAAGAAATCCATAATTCTGAATTTTTCCATTTATGCATTGAACCTCCAGCTGTAGTGCCATTTTAAGGTATTTTGTTCGTCCCCATTGTTAATATGCTGAGAGATATTTTTATCTTTGGCCACTTCAGCATATGATTTAGGCAATTTACGATGTTGGGCAGGTCTAAATCTACTGTATAATTTTTTCATTTTATTTTCTCTTGAGTTGTTATTGTTTCTGCTGTTATGGTCACATGTGATCAGGTGATCCACATATATGACAAGTTTTGGTATCTTCTCCACACCAATAAAAAGTTGTAATCTTTGGCTGTTGCGTTAAATAAATCTTCATCTGTTTCACAATTCATGTAAGCATATGACAAACCTTGTAATTGTTCGGGTGCAGCAATAATATCATGCAAGTCTCTTGCAGATGTTCCTGTAGGAAAGTCAGAGAGTTTAATACTGTAAATTCTTCTATTATTCCTCTGTTCTTCATTTAATGTTAGGGGAATAACATGAGTAGTCTCTGAGAATATATACAGATCATGTTTTTGTATGAAATTCCTGAACATTTTGGCTTTTTTTGTTCATTTTCTTGAATATGCTTCTAATTTTTGTTTTTTGTCAGGATTTTTTTTTCCTGGAGATCATGTCACTTATGTCACTTTTGTCATTTTGTTTTTTAATTGACGATATGTCTATGAATCCGTGAAATAAGTAAATAGTGATTGGCGGGGGAAAATTGATGAAAAAAACACCAATTGGTAACCTTTTATAAAAAAAGTTACTATACTTTTGTCTCGCAAGATAAAATTTTTGTGTGTACATTAATAAAATAAATCTCAGAGAACATATTTATGTATTTTTTATTGGCTTTAATTATGTAAAAAAAAATATTTTCTCTTTGTGATGTGTTGATTTTTAGAATTTTGTTATTGAGAAAAATCTGATTTTTTTATTATTTCTTATGTTGATATATTATAAATAAAAAAAATGCTTGTAATATGTATTTATGCTTTATCTATCTATGTTTCGTTCTATGTCCGACCAGAGTCACTCTCTAATAAATTGATAAATAAATCAAAAATATCAACAAAAACTTTGTTAATATCAAAAATAAAGGCAGAAACTCGTGTCATTAAATTGATTCATTAGAAATCCCCAGATAAATAATTTTTGTAGATTGAATGCAAAAATCATATTATTTAATTAAAAATTGTTTTTTCAAGATTCATACTTTTTTTATGATCTTTTTGATTTTTTTATCTATCATTTAATATGAAATTTCCCCCGTATTTTATAGTTGGCTTGGTCTAAAGACCCCCCTAAATTTTGGGCAAATTTTAAAAGTATAGAAGTCACTTTCTGTCCTACCTTTTAAAAAAATAACTCTATTAGTTGATAGAATATGTCTTTAGTTTAATGTAATAGAGAGATTTTCTCAAAAAATTTATTTGTTGTAGAGTTCTATTCTTTTTTAAAACATGCACTTTACTATGCTCGCGAGGAATTTGTCCACTATGATCATTTCTAAATTTAGAAAAAATATTAACAAATTTAGACTAGCTCTTAACTATCGTATCTAAATTTGGCAGTAAGAAAACTACAATCACGTGAACTCCTATTTTCTGAAAAATTTTATTACGAATTACAAAATTGCTATTTTGGAATTTGGCCGCGTGGCGCAGCAATAGGAGGTCTTTAGACCAAGCCAACCATAGTATTTTTGAAGTTGACCAATTGTTACTATAAGCAATTAATGATTATATATGATCTGCGCCGTACTAATTTTCCTCTTCAATCAATTCCATGGAGAATGTTAATAATTTTCTTTGTAAGATCATATTTTAGAAAACAATTATGAGTATAGATCAATTTCAAGTTTTTCGTAATTGTATAATAATAATAATGTTTAATATATTTATTTATATTATATAATGTTTATCTACCATCTATTATTAATAAAAAAAAATGAAAATAAAAAAAATTGCTTGTTCGTGAAATGTTACACACGAACTGTCTATGAGTAAAGGAAAGGAATCAAAGAAAATTAATGTCTATACAGAAATAAAGATTTTATAATACAAAAAAAAAAAAAATAATAATTGTTTGCTAACAATTACTATATACTTATTAATTTATTTATTAGTCTATTTAAATCTAATCAATTAATTAATTAACTAATTTGCTAGCAACACATTGTTCACTTCTTAATTTAGCAGCATTTTTTTCAAAACTAGCCTGTTTACAACTTGTCAAGTTGACACAGGCATGAGCTTCAGGTAATCTATGTCTACCACAGTAGTCCAACTCGCAATACCTACAATGACCAACAATCTTAGTTGCCTTGTCTTTACATTCACCAAATTTGCATTTTACAACTTTTGCACCACCACGTAAACGAAGGACCAAATGTAAGGTTGATTCTTTTTGAATATTGTAATCCGATAATGTTCTGCCATCCTCCAACTGTTTACCAGCAAAGATTAAACGTTGTTGATCTGGAGGGATGCCTTCTTTATCTTGAATTTTTTGTTTGACTGCATCGATACTGTCAGAGGATTCTACTTCGAGAGTAATAGTTTTACCAGTAAGAGTTTTGACGAAAATTTGCATGCCACCACGTAAACGGAGAACCAAATGTAAGGTTGATTCTTTTTGAATATTATAATCTGACAATGTTCTACCATCTTCCAATTGTTTACCAGCAAAGATTAAACGTTGTTGATCTGGAGGAATACCTTCTTTATCTTGAATTTTTTGTTTAACTGCATCAATACTATCAGAGGATTCTACTTCGAGAGTAATAGTTTTACCGGTAAGAGTTTTGACGAAAATTTGCATGTTTGTTAATTAAAAAATATTTTTTTTATTGAATTGTAAAAAAATTTTGTGTGTGAAGGGTTAAAAGTTATAAAATAATATATGAATGTGGTGGTGAAAAAAATTTTTTTTTTGTTTTACAAAAAAAAATTTTTAAAAATAAAAAATGGTGTGAGAGAATAATGAGAAAATTATTATATTAATTTTTTTCTGCTTGGGACAAAAAGGTTGTGTATTTATATCTCATTTTTATTTATTAATTATAAAATAATAAATGAAAAATAATAAATAATATATTACATATATAATATAAATAAATAATAATATACTTACGTGTATATATATTACGTATACCTATTTATTATTAATAATGAATATATATATATATATATATATATGCCAAAAGACAAAGTGGGTGTGATATGATTTTTGTATTAGTAATTTTGTACCACAAAAAAAATTTTTTTTTTTCACTACTAACCATACAAGTCATACGTAGACGAAGCCTACAATAAGTGGAACTCTTTGATATAAAGCACACTACGAGCTCCACAACATCCACAAAGGATACTTTGAGGGATTTATGAGGCAAATGACTGAAATTTAAATCGGTAATGTGGCCGGGTTAACGTTTGTTTTTAACCATGTCTTGTATTTTCAACTCGGGAAGTAAAACCAAACGACGACATTTACAAGATTACAAATTTTATTACATATTTTACGCTTTATTTTCTTTGCCACGAATTGAACCCTTTTGTTCATTTTGGGATTCTATTACGATGCAAACATAAGCTATATATTCTATTTTTATTGTGCAAGTTCTCTGTATCGAGAGAAACTCTCTTCAACCGTTGAGAATTTAGAACTCTGGTTATCGGCCTTAATTTCAAGTGGTTTAGGGAAGATAAATCAAACGAATTCATGATGAGACAACAGCAGTTGTATGTTTTAGGTATTTTCTCATGTGATTTAATATCTCCCCAGTCTGCTGATTTATGATTGACTGTAGCTTGTTTTTTTAGGTCTAAAATATTTAATTTTTAATTTTTAATTCCTGCTTCCCTAATGCTAGAAGGGTGCCAAGAACCCATTTAAGATCAGAGTCTTCGAAATTTTCAGACTCTGGTAAAAGGGGAACATGATTTAAATTATTAAATGTTGGTTTAGTTGGATCAATGCAACCCATGAATTGAGAGCCTGCCTTTTAAAGAGGCTTCCCATCGATCTGAGGACAGTGATTCACTAGGGTAAACAACACCTATTCGTGTGAACTTATTCAGAATGGTTTATCCGAAGAAGAGTAAAAAAATCAATCATTTTCTGATGTGATGTTTATTTATCTACTCGTGACATATTCCCAATGTTATTATTATTTAGTACAACAGTATTTTTGCCTTTTTGTCAAAAAAATTATTGTTTCATTAATATTAATAATCAATAATTGGTAAATTAGATGGTTTTGTTCGATAGTTTAAATGCAAGTATAAATAAAGTAAGTACGCTGTATAAAAGCGAGACTAACAATCCAAAAGGAAACAAAAAAAAATTAAAAATTTTTTTATAGAAAAGAAAACTCTTTTTCTGTATTGAATGTCCAATTTAGTAATCAACAATTAAATCGATTGGTCGAGAGAATAACTTAAATATTTATATTTATAATAATAAATACAAATAGTCCGAAAAAAAAACATTATAATCGAGCGAGGAATTACAGGTTTCTGGTTGATGTCATCATAATATTAAATAATATTATATTATTAACATTTGGATTTACCACACAAACAAAAGCCATATTATTATTATTTTTACCTCCAACAATCATTTACCAAAAACTCCATGGAATTCGAAGGGAAACTTTAAAAATAATAAATGGGATCGATAATAAATAATTAACAAGAACAATAAACATTATTATAGTATAAAATTTGTAATACAAGTCATTAATATTACAATACCAAATAAAACAATAATTTAAAAAAAGAAATCTCTTTTTATATAATATATGTAAGTGCTGTGTAACTTTTAATATAGCCTATAAAAAAAATCCAATCAAATCATTTTATCCATCTTTAAAATATTTAGTGATTGGTCAATCTTATTACTATATTTTAAAATTTCTCAAAAATGGATTCAACAACATCTGAAACAACGCCAACTGCTAATACGATGAATAATAATAATAGTGGTGGTGGTGATGGTGGTAATGGTGGTGGCGGCGGTGGTCAAGGAGCTATAAGTGTTCCTCCATGTCTATCGTATTTTTGCATTTATAATCCTACTCTCGGACCAACGGAAGAAACTCAAAAAGATCAAATTCTTTATTATACCTCAAGAAAACAGGTGCCATTGGATACAACAATACGTCAAATTGGTTTGGCTCAAGGAATAGTAAACTTTACAAAGTTAGTTATATGTAGAGACAATTAGAAAAGAAAAGATTGTGGCAAATTTTTTTTGACTGAATATCAAATCAAAATTTTTAAAATATAGTTTTGTTGAAATATTCTCTATTACTGTGCAACACACTATTTCAGAATATTTTCCCCTACTAAACCATGTGAAAATGTTCATACGCAAAAAAATCGATTAGCATTTTATGAAGCTGAACCAAATTATTGGATACATGTTGTAAATATTAATTTATTAATTGTTAATTATTACAATTCGTTTTATTTATTTTATTTTAAAAATTTAAAATTTTTTTTTGTCGGGATAAAAGTTGATTGAACTAGGATATGTCAGGAGAACAACTAAAGATAAAGATGGAAAACCAAAGATTATAACTGAATATCTAGATGTAAATTTACACGATTCTGAAATTGGAAAAATGTTAGAAATTGGATATGAAATGTACAGGGCAAGTAATTATTATTGTATCTCGTGTATTTTAACGTGCATTTAAACTTGATTATATTTACAATCAATAATTAATTGATATTTTTAATTATTTTATCTAGTTATTTAATGGAACTTTTGATTTGACAACAAGAACTTCAGGAGTGAAATCTTTAAAGGTTAAATTAGAAGAATTTTTTGGTAATTGGGTATTTGAATGGGATTTTGAGAAGACTGAATTAACCAAAATTGTCGATGGTAATTATAATAATATTGATATTATGTTAGTGGTAAACATGCTTGTAATAATATGATATAAATATATTTATAATATATTATTATATTATTATTATAATCACATGCACACACTCGCACATTTATATATATTATAGGTATTCTTTATCTTCCACTTTCTAGGCCAGCATATTTGGAAATAACATCATTAATCGAACAAATTCACTCGGAATATGAAATAATAGAAGACGCTGTAGTGTTATGGAAAAACAAATTGATATACAATGGAAGCATTCCTGAAAATCAACTAAAAGGAATTTGGAAACATTTGGATACTTTGATTTCTGAAAGAAATTTGTTCGAAAGAGAACTTGAAAGAAAAAAGAATACCAAAGACAGTGATAAAGTAATGACTATTTCAAAAATTTGTGAAATTATTTATTTATATATTTGTATATTTACATTTATTTATTTATTTGTTTGTTTGTTTATTATTTAGTTTTCTTCAACAATTAAAGGATTTACAAAGTTGATTTCTGGAGCTAATCCTTTTTCTCGTTTTTCGCCAAATTCTTTATCATTTCCATCATTATCATCATCATCATCGACAACAACGTCATCCGATAATCAGCAAAGTCATTTCCTTTCCTTTGAATCGTCACTTAATCCTTTTTCTTTTTCATCATCTACACAACAGCCGCAGCAGCAATCTTCTTCTTCAGAGCCTCCCCTTGATTCTTCTTCTTTACCATCCGAAATAAATTTATCAAAATTCTTGATAGGACCAACAGATTTAGATGGATCTAATAGAGATATTAAACCTTTGACAATTTATTTAATAAAAAAATTAGACGATAAAGAAATTGATGATGACGAATATAATGATGTTGTTGACAATGTTGAAAAATATTTTTTAATTGCATATAAGGTACCCTATTATTTATTCGCTGGAAGGTAAATTATTATTTTTCAAAAAAAAAAAAAAAATCTAAATTAACAAATTTATTAATAACATAGCAAGATTTTCTTACGTTTGCATTCTTAATACCGGCCAAATCGGTGGAAGGAATTACAAAAGTATACGATATGAAATTTTATATATCTCTAGATGAATGTTTATCTATTAGATCTGAATCAATAATTAATGCAGTAAATGAGGATTATGAAAAATCAAGAAAATTTGGGTAAATAAATATTTATTCATATTATTATTATTATAAATATAATAAATATAAACATTCTATAAACATCATATGCAAAGAAATAAAGTGGATATAGATAGAGAATATCGATATTTATATTTTGATAAAATGACTTTGGCTATAAAGACTTCATTACATTCATTGTCATTAACACCACCAACCATATCATCAACTTCATCATCATCATCTTCATCTAATGGAAATGTGTTCAGAGGATTAACTATTACAAACGAGATGGCTCATGCATTATGTGATATACATGAAGATCTTGAAAAGTTGGTGTTATTATACACATTACATTTGCATTTATATATATATATATATTTACTTTTTCTTTTTTTTTTGTTAATTATTATAATATTAGACATCAACAATTGACAGAAGTCTATACAAGATCTACAACAAATTTTTGGGTAGTTGGGAGAAGGTCTGATAAACGTATACTCTATATTGTTGTACCTAAAAAAGATACATCACTTATAGAAGTTGAAGGTAATAATATATATTTATTTATTCGTATAATATAGTTTTTAAAACAAATAATAATATATTTTTGGAAATTTTTTAGATGAGATAAGAAAACTTACAAGTTTATATTTTTCTGCAAATAATAACTGAAACTAATTCAACTATTATCATATTATTATTATTAATTATTATTTTATCTGTTATTATTCTTAACTCCAATCATTATTTTATTTATAACATAATCGTAATATATATACATTTAGTCGAAGAACTCTTTTAATA